ACAACTTTATTATGACGCATGGACATTTGCTTGTGTATCCAGATAAACAGTTCAACTGGAATGTATCAATAGCAAAATATTCTGATATTCTCAAAGCGTTAAACAATGAAATGGAAATGGCAGTCAGGATTTCCTTCAAGAATACATTTTCAATTTATTTATTTAAAGTAACTACCACATGAAGCGATTCTCTACCAGTCGACCTACTGGGTGATACAATGATAAACGCTACAAAGACATAATTGGTACATATTAATGTATAATGATACTGCAAACAGATATATACACATTTTAGCCACCTACTGGAAAGCTAATCGTCAATTACGTAAGAAATATTATCAATAGGAAAATATACATGTGTGTTTTATTGCTGTTTTCTTTACGAAAGGATCTTAATCACGCTTAATGGAGGATAATGCGTTGTCTAAGAAATGTATCACACTTATTCAAGTAGTTTTTTTTTTTTTTTTTTGCAAAAAGTACTACATTGGCAAAGCCAGTGTAAAAAGAAGGCCACGTTTATTTTTGATATCTACTAAAACTACTACCGAAACTACTGGTAAAATATAAATAAATCATTCAAACTAAACAATTCGCTGCCCTGTGCCTGCAAAAATTGTTAATTTCATTGGTGAAGAGTATATTGAATTAATACCGAGCACCAGGTCACTGAACTATTCCACTCGAAAATATAATAATCAAAAAATATCTCAGAGATATGTGAAGTCTGCACATCTATGGTGGGGTGAGGCCTTTGTTTAAGAGTGGGGCATATACAGGCTGTTATTTAAGCTCGAGACGACAATATGTCGACTAGAATTTTTCTAGTGCTAGAACAGGGTCATTGGCCTCAATATTTTGGCATGGATGGAAATATGCCTCGACGAATAATACTGTTTGTGAAGGGTATACTGCTATATAAAGACGGTTGTTACAGAGACAACAATGAATAGGCTCAGATAATGTCATAAAGTCATACGTTCTGATAGAGTTACTGTTTTATTACAATCAAAGTTACTGTTACAATTCATAGCAATAACAAATACAATTAAATTATTATTTCGTTGGCGCTATTAATGACGTGAATAGTTTTGTAGACTACGTTAGTATCTTCTTTAAGGCCTGCAAGGTCTATAATGATAATTTTGTTTTATTCCTATTATTTATTATACTTTCATAACTCTTGTTTATATATCAAAATCTAAAACATGCATAAGATAATATTAACAGCACAAATATTTATTACTAATGAACCTAATATTGAAGAAAGAATTACCCGATTGGCGTGAGGAGTAGTGAACCTGCATCTTGCGCCAGAGGGTCTGGGTTCGATCTCAACTATTGGAAAAAATATTGTGTGATGAACATAGTGTCTGGGTGTATATGTATAATATGTATTTATTAACAAAGTAAAAGCGTTGCTTAGTTTGGGAAAAGAGAACGTTGTGTAATATGTGTATGTGTCCGAGATTTTCAATCAATCAATATCAGCCTATTGCCGTCCACTGCTCCAAAGCCTCCCCCAGAGTGATAAGTCCGAGATTTAACTCCTATTAATTAAATGAATATGTATACTCAAGTAAATAATGCTAGGATATGTTAAATTATCGTTATTGGCGTTAAGGGAATTAAATTTATTTAAATATTCTGCCACAATAGCCTCTTTGTTGATCCACATTTTACTTTAGTATTTCCGAGCCGAGACGGCTTAGGTACTTTTAAAAAATCAAATAAACAAATCAAAATAAATCAAAATAATTTATTCATCTACATAAGAAACTACAGTGACTGAGTTGAGATGCATGTTTTGTAGCACTGGACAATGCTGGACTTTTTTATGTGAGACTAGTTACCCGCCCTGGCTGCGCACTGTTTTGTAGCACTGGACAATGCTGGACTTTTTTATGTGAGACTAGTTACCCGCCCTGGCTGCGCACTGTTGCAATGTATTATATATGTAAACCTTCCTCTTGAATCACTCTATCTAATAAAAACGCATTAAGATCCGTTTCGTAGTTTTAAAGATCTAAGCATACATAGGGACAGACAGACAGCGGGACGACTTTGTTTTATACTATGTAGTGAAGGTGGCAGGCGAGCTGGCGGTTCACCTGATGTTAAGTGATAACCGCCGCCCATGGACATTTATAACACCCGCAGGGTTGCAAATCCGTTGCCACCTTTTAATAAAGTGAGCTACAGTGCCCTCCCTCACCAGACGAAACGCAAAGTGTACTGCTTCTAATTCACGCTGGTCTTCTGAAAGGTCGTGATACTCCCCCACGTACCTGCCGATTAGTGCAACAGCGAAGACGTTGTTGCGTGGCCCTGCCACGGTCTTCAGTCAGCTTGTGTTTTGCCATTTTTGAAACGTCAACTTATAAATTAATAAATTTAACCTACATCTATAACAAGCCGAGTACCCGAAATTGATTTTGTAAAGCCGCTGCTATTAAATAATTCCACAACAAAGGCGCTGTTATCTCTAATGAAGACAAAAGGTTTCCCCCCTTTGTCATACGCCTTTGAATAATTTCTCTAGTGTAAAATGCTAACACTCGCTTGATCCCTTAGCGTTTTTAAAAGGCTCGTTTAACTCCATACAGCACAGCGCTGAGCTCTCAGCTTCACTGAGGGGATCTTTTTCTTTTATTTTTCCAGTGAGCCTTTTCAAATTTTGTGTATGGTTTATCTCTCTACTTAGTATAATAAAGCTGAAAAGTTTGTTTGTTTGTTTCGCGTTAATCTCTGGTACTACCAGTAGGATTTGAAAAAAACTTTTTGCCTTTGATAACCTAATTCTTGTGGAAGGTTATAGGATATTTAATACAGCGCTACTATCTACGGGGACTAAGCAGAAACGATAGCCAAGCTATGCCGAACAGCTATCAACACTACAGGCAACAATTAGAGGTCACGAGACTTTTTTTCTTTTATGTTTTTTTGTTGTAACTGTGGTAGGACCACGCAGCAGTGTTCACTGTTGCACGAATGGGCAGCTCCATCCAGGTTCCGGGTACCACGACCTCACACAGAAGACCGGCGTAAAGTAGAAATGTTACACTTCTGCGTTTCGTCTGGTGAGTGAGGTAGCCGGGGCCCACTTTATTTATAGGTGCCAACGAATTTTCAACTCTACGGGTGGTGCAAATGTCCATGGGCGGCGAGTATCACTTAACATAAGGTGAACTGCCTGCTAGCTTGTCACGCTCTCAGATAAAAAAAGAAAAAAAATATCCTCCACACACCGCTTCAATTGATACTGTTGTGTAGGCAAAATGCGTACGCAATGTAAGAGACGCTAAAGTAGAACTTCTACTTCACGATGGTCTCATGTACATGCTGTCTCATGAGCCTCTTCTTGGGACTACAGAAGCTTGTAGGTTGCCCAACCTCAGCAGTGAGAATCAATATCATAAAATAGACTAACTTAATCTTCATAATCATGAATAACTTAATCTTCATAATCATGAATAACTTAATCTTCGGCTCCAGCTGTCGAGTTTCTTCTGGTTGGGTCAAGGTTATTTCGGTTAAAGACTGTAAATGTTGATAATTAATGTGAATGCAAAAATGTTATGGATATAAAAATTAAAACTGTCGTGGAAAAAGTCGTCATGACAAAACACACGACTGAAGCGAGTGTTAGTTTTAACAAACCGAAATCCAGTCGGTGAGAATTTTAATTACTTTGTCGGAATGAAAGCGAGGCCCAGCCTCTAGCGTTTATTGTTCGGACGGATATGATATAATTTTATTGGATTTCGAATTTGTGAAAAAATAAACAAGTTACGTCCGCTGCTTTGCTCGTATAGCCGTTTTAAATAATCAGTGGACACAGAATATTATTTCAATTAAGGAGCATTTGCACACACAATAAACTTGTGATTGCGATTAGATATTTGAATTTCGTAAACATTTGAAGTTATATATACCCTTTTCGCTTTTCCAGGAGTATCCTGTGTCTGGTTTCATGATGAGCAATACCTTTCAGTCTTCTCTCAAATGTTATTTGGACTTAGTACGTCTTGACGTTGTTTGGACTAAGTACTTGATACGTCTTTTTCAAAGTTGGAATTAAAATGTATAAAACGCAAAGATTCGTCTAAGTCTCCTTGCGGCCATTAAAATTAATTCTGTAAAAGTATAAAACTTTACTTATTTTTCATACCCGTTTCTTGAGCTTGGAATGAAACTTTGGATTCAAAACCTTTTCGAGTTAGATTTGAGGTGGAAGTAGAGTTTTTCATACTAATTTATTTTCGCATTCAAATCCTCTTTATGTCGAAATTCTTGTAACAACAACGTATATGATGAAGAACAAAAAAACAAAAATCTTTATGTATATGTTTCTCTTGTTTGTTTGTTTTACATTAATTCTTCCATACAAAGATCAGTGCGATTTTTTGTTCCATTCGCTACGCTTGAATAACATTCCATCATATGTTAATAATCATAAACACAATTCCATAACTTCAAGAGTTCATACAGAAATTGTGGAGACGTTTCTCCTACGTTTTTGTAATGATTACAATCTTATTTCTTAATTATGAAATATCCAAATTAGGGCAAATAAAAAAAACTGGCGTTTCAGCTGGCGTCGAATGTCTAATTCACTACTGGTTAGTTTTTTGAACGACCTAAATAAAACAGATTTGTATTGATTTTGCTGACAAGCTATAGGTACTGTTAATGGGATCGTGATAGCTCACTGTCCGGGTACTCGCTTTTAATTCCATATACTCTAGCAACCTGAGTTCGATCCCCGGTGTCGGCTCCAAAGAAATTTTTTAAACGCCGACTTATCACGTGCTCAGCGGTGAAGGAAAACATTGTGAGTGAACCTGTATATTTTCGAAATATTTCAAAGGTGTGTGAAATCCGCCAATCAGCAGTCTGGTCGCGTGGTGGACTATGGCCTGATACCCTCTGTACAGAGGAGACTTTTGCCCGGGATAAAAGGTGGACTTTGGGACATATATAGGCTGTTATTTACTTTAACACCGTTTGTCAACAGGCAGCCTAGCCCAGTAGACCCTCACCCAGAGTCGTAAGTTGCTCACCTGTGGCTGGGCGTGGCGAGCGCTCGCTGCCTCCATGATCACGTGCGTGCGCTGTGGCAGCTGACACGAGCTCGATGACGTCATGTCCACCAAGAAGCACTCGCCGCAACCAAGTAAGTTACTCATACCATCACGTTTGTTCACTTGCATATAGACAGGGATGGCTAGTGGCATTTACTTTTGATTCGATAATTATAATCCTTATTGGATTCCTCTTCGATATGTTTCCTCTCAAATTGTTTTAACTTGTCTTGCGCTCATCTTGTCATGCTTCTTGGTAGATATGCAGTTGACATCAAGATGACGTCATATATACTAAGCAACACTCGAAACCACTGCCCGTCCCACAACCGAATAAAATTTACGTTTCCGTTCTTGGTTCTTCATGTTTTATCCAATATGAAGACGCTTGTGTGACGCTTTAGGTGTAGTAAAAAGTACTTATTGTATGGGAAATCAATAGAATTTCCTGCTTTTTTCTCCCATCTCCACCCTTTGCGGCTTTTGTCTATTCCAATGAATGTTGTAGTCTCTTCTCATATGCTTCTGACCAGCTATAAATAAAAAGAAAGTAAGCAATGATTTTTAATTAAATTGATGAATAAATTAGCTTATGCCTCGAAATATTAATACTATTTGCATATGTCAACAAATTTATGTTGTAAAGCATTTGAAATGACCATAAAATCCGTTAGTTAGTTTTATTAAAATTTATAATATTCACGTAAATAAAAGCAGTTCTCAGAATATTTATAAGTTTCCGTTATGAAATGGGTTACTTATCAAATTTATTTCATATGGCGACATTATTATTTATGAGTCTGAATAGATTCAAAACGATTTCAAGTTTCCTTTGCTAACTATTGAGTTACATTTTAACGATTTCGTTTTTTTTTCAAACAGATGCAAGATTAAGTAATTAACGGATGTATATTAACAATTGATCGAAGTCCTCTACTATACAGCATACAGCATAGTCCTCCACAACTCGCCTTCGCAACTTGAAGGACAATTATTTTCCATTTTGCAATGTCAATAAAGATTTCACGGTACACAGTTCCTTAATATTAATAATTGCCTAGATAAAAGACAAGATATATTAAATAAATAAATATGTCGGGACATGTTTTTACACAATTGATCTAGTCCCAAACTAAGCAAAGCTTGTACTATGGACAATGGGTAACTGATAAACAAACTTTTGTAAATAAACATATAGATCCACACACCCAGACACTAGGAAAACACTATGTTCATCACACAATATTTTTCTGGTAGTGTGGATCGAACTCACACCCTCTGGCGCAAGAGACAGTGTCACTATCCACTACGCCAATTATGGGTGAGGAAATAACAATTCAAAGAAAGCTTTCGAAAAATAAGCACGCGCGTCACGCATGCTGTTTTCCCCCAAATGAGCACGTAAAATAGCGTGAGCGGCGTGCTCCCAAGCGACGTGACAGCGTCGAGGTCGCTAAGTTGTTGTCACGTTTTAATAACTAGAAATTCACGTTACACTGGTCAGTGAACTTGGGGTTTTCACCAGCAATTAAAGTACATGGCAATGGTATGCCGCTTTCGTATTTGTTAATTATACGGATTTTGATATTTATATGGCTTGCACGCGACACGGAAATGACGTAATAGAGTTCTGAGTACAATAGCCGGATATAGACAAAATAATTATTGTGAAGTTTTAAATTAAATGAAACTTAAGTAAGACAGCATCTCGTAACATCTCGTAGCAAGTCCTGTAGGTACAGACGTTTGCAAAGATATACAAAAAAATACCCTTACGGGAAAATTTCCTAGAAGTTTTCTTTGTAAAATTAAGTTCAAATATTTGGATTTTGAAATTCTCTGCAAGTATACTTCATTTTGTAGATGACTTTACTTTCTAGAATATGCTTTAGTAACAACGTGCCGTTGGCGACAATGTTACGAAACCCTTCGTGCTCGAATCTGACTCGCATTTGGCCAGTTTTTTTTTTTTTTTTAGTAAGTAAGCTATAATATAATGGTTCAAACTTTACACATTTATTTTCTAGCTAATGCAGACCATCATACAAAAAAGACACTGTTCATAGTAAATATCAGTTAGTTGAGTTGTAACTCGTAATAAAATAAGACATTATCCCTTGTAGTTAAGTCTTTTGAGATAAATTGTCTTGATAAGCCTAAAGCTCTGTATTGATCCACACAACTGTTGGACAGAATGGGGTTTAGCGTAAGCCAGTTGAATACCGTCGTAATATAAGAAAAACGTCAACTAGTAACCAAGTAAATTATTACGGATTTTGTCTGTTCGTTTTGAGGAAAAATTTAGTTTTTTTTATTTTGGAAGGTCATTAAAGATTTCACAGTATTTTGTTAGTTTCCTTGCATTGCATTGCATATACATACAGTTCCCTAATATTAACAATTGCCTAGACACGCCTAATCAAATAAAAAATAAATGCCTTAATACGAAATCTGCAAATACAAGTATTATTATATACCTATTTAAAACTAATACGCCTGAGTGTTTATAAATGTATAATATGTATTATTTACAAAAGAAAAGTATGTTTATCAGCTATCTAGTACACATAGTACAAGCGTTGCTTAGTTTGGGACTAGAGAACGTTGTGTTAAAATGGGTCCTAAATATTTTTTTTTGTTACAAACGTGAGCACTTCGTCACACTTTGTGCTGTAAGGCGAGAACTTAATATAAAGTTTGGATGTTGTTTAGTATCGCTAATACTACCAGTTTAAAACCAAACAGCAGATTACACTTAGTGTCTTTGAGAACTTAATTTAAACTTAGTCTGTACTTGAGTTTCGATAATACTACCAGTTTAGAGCCAACCATGATAGGGCCAAAATAAGAATGAACAGAGTAAAAGGTATCATGAATGAACCAAGACCAAGGCTTGTAAGACCGGTGCTTTAGTTTCCTGGCGTATAAGATAACTCTTTAAAAATTATAAATAGTTCTAGTAAGTGAATATGTAACACATGCATATGAAACACATGCACACACACATGCAGCCGGGGCTCTGTCTTTGCTCACTACCAAGTTCCTGTTCACTGTAGAAGCAATGAGAAAAGGTCAGAAGAAGGTATGAATAGGTCTAGGAATCAACCATGAAAGGACCTAATATCTGCACATGAAGGCTCCTCTGATATGAATATAAAACTTCAACTACACTATCAATTACACAAATAGCAGAGGCAAAGAGATTGGCAGTAGGTAGAATAGAATTCGGCCCGAGGCATCGATGTAGTGACGACGTAGTGATCGCAGACCTGCATGATTCACAATATAACTAGAAAATACATATGGAGGTTTATTCTATCGGAGGCTAAGACAATCTTCGGTTATGGAGCCACTAAAGGAGTAGTTTAAGAATTTAACTAGGCAAAATTACTTTTTTTTATTTTCAAATAGAAGATTTTGACGCATACGCAATCATTTTGATAAAATATCACATTTAATATATTTCGATTTCTGTTGAGTTTTTTGAATTAAGAAGTTAATCGATGACAAGACCTTAGGCACATCATGGAGCTCATAAAGAGATGATAGAAAGAATGAGAGACGTAAAATCTGATACGCCCCAAGTCGGTATCATTGTTTGCCCGCGTCTCTGACAATTATCTTTATTTTGTTGTTTCACTGTAGTACATGTTTTCACATTTGATTTATAACGCTTAAGGAGGCCCTTAACACGTTTGCTGCGGCAGTAACTTTTCAATACTTTCCGTTCCTTCGGTACAAGGCCTATACACCTGGTGATTAAACTTCCATTGTGGCGGCACAAGGCTTATAGACACTGTAAAATTTAAGAAACTTAAATCCTGTTTTTGGCTTCATGTAAAAATGTATGTTTTTTTTGCTTTGAACATTAATAGACAAGCTATCTGGTGTTGTAGAGGTCCATGGGCGTCGGTATTCCTTTAACATCAGGTGAACCGCCTGCTCGCTTGACAACGTTTCACGTAAAAAAATGAATGATACTAACATTTAACAAGTCATTGACACCAGTATTGATTCATCATCAGGGTTTGGCGTCAGAGCATGTACGGTCAACAACAACCTTGTTGATCCGATCTCAGGAAAGTGGTGATCCAATTGTATAATTTCTCAGTAATGAAATGAATGTGATCTTATTGTATCATAACACAATACTGAACTGCGTACGAAATTATGCAGTTCAACATTTTGTTGGGATTTGCTGCAGTAATTTTAAATGAACCTGTTCGATGCCAGTATCGACTGGTCGTACGAGTATCAAGCATCGTGCATGATTCGCCTCAATTAAGAAACAATGCCGCGGAGGGAAACGTGCTGAAAACAACAGGTTACAGCTGAAAGGCATACAAGGCTAACGAATATTGCATGACTTTATTACGAGTATTTACGTTTTTAACGTTCCATACCCAAAGGGTAAAACAGGACCCTATTACTCAGCCTCCGCTGTATGTCTGTCTGTGTGTCAGTCCGTCTGTCACCAGGCTGTATCTCATAAACCGTAATAGTTAGACAGTAGAAATTCTCGTGTGCGGCTTCCATACAACGATTTTTCTGCCGTTTTTATGTATTTGAGTCCGACACCCACTTGGCCGGTTTTTATTCTAAACTAATAATTTGTAATTAGATCAAGTGCTTCATTCAAAATTACGGGATGTTGACATGCAAGACGTTCATCCCGTGATCGTAACAATATTTTTTCAGAATATCAGTGGTGATACTCGGCTTAAACAAGCTTTTTCTTATACGTTTCGATAGAATAGTGTTTTATGTTAACTTAGTTTATAAATGACAACTAGTAACCGCTGGTTTATGGTGCTTTCCCGTTTGTAATTAAGAGCAAAGTTATGTCATGTTATGTTGAAACGTCTCCTACGATATGTCAGTATTTCACTGGTTACATCATATTCTATCAACAATTATCTGGAGACAAGTGTACTTTCATTATTAAAATTCTTTAAGTATAGACATTATTTTATTTGCTAGATGCTAAATTAGCATATTTATATACAAGACAAAAGGTGGTACAAAGTGTCTAGCTGTGTAACATATACTGCACTTTGTTTTTCGAAAGTTCTGTTAAAATTAAAAAAAGCAAGTATGGCGAAACAAAGCCTAAAAGTAAACAAATATTTGTAATAAAATAACAAAGTACATTC